GAATTAAGCAGATGATGCTCAGATGATACAAATTTGTAATAGTATATAACTATAATTGAGCAAGTTGGTGCTTATAGACTACAATAACAATTATTGGCTATGAAAGTTATAGTTGGTGGTTATAATAGACAAATTTGATTGCACAAGCTGTAGTTGGTAGTCTCAACAGTCGTAAATGACAAAAAAAATTATTGGTGATGGTTGACGATAATCTTTTCTGGTCAGTGACAAACTGTGGTGATTGGTAACAACCGTATGCCTGGTAACAACTGCATGACTTAAGAGTCAAGCTTTATTAATCAACATATTCTATTATCTTCCTCCTTTCAATTGAAGAATAAATGTGTATTTTTAATTTCTTAGAGAAACATTTTGGCAATTTTAGAAAGAATCTACAAAAATGCATTAGATGGTTCATACAGATTCCTTTGATTACAATTAATTTTTTTAACATATAAACCTCGAAATTGAATAAAGTTGGACAAACGATGCTTGTTTGAGTAATTTCAACAACGGTCCAAGTGATTCAAGTCCAAATCATGCACGTAGCGCCAACAATTTTCACCATACTTGCTCATTTCAAACATGCAAAGCCCCCCTTCTAATAAATTTTAACATTTCAGACATGCTTGCATGATCTATTTTATGATCGAACATCGTTTCTTGTGGCTTCAAGTGTGACTGAGCCTTTTCATAGTCCATTTATACGACGTCTCAATGAATGGTTATTTCGGGCGACACATTTGATGTCATCGAGATGTGTGGAGCTTATATCAACGCCAACAATACAACAATAAATTTACTTTTTCTACTTATACCATCCAAATCTTTCATGTATTTATTTAAACTCTACATTTATATCACATCAAAAATAATATTATTTTTTATCCTAAAAGGTTAAAATACACATTTACATGTATAGATAACATGACATATATGTAAATGAATTTTAGCACTTACATATGTAAATACATAAGAATTATACTTTAAAAGTGGCAGACAACAACAAGATGGTCATAAATAAATAGAAACAAAAATTAAATAATTAATGGTGACAAACCCAATGATGTGTGAAAATTTTAGCCAAAATAGGTCTAAATCATTAAGTTTAGGCCCTTTAAAATCATCCAATTGAAATAGGATTACTAACTTTAGGTTTAATGAAGTAGGTATTGGGTTGTTTAGATAAGCATTTAAGGGATCAGATTAATTCAGATCCAATTATTTTAATAAAAAAAATTAAATAAATCCACATTTTTATAGTGGTTGGATTTGTATAAATTATTTTATTTGTTGTATATAGGACATAATTTTTTTATGAATAATAATTTTTTATTAATATATTTATGCACGTGATTAATGCAATTTGATTAGAATAAAATACTTGTAAAAATGGACTCGTGATGCATGTTTTTTGGAATAGTTTGTGAAAACATTTAAAAAAAACTAATAATCAAGGAGTTTAAATGATCAAATATGCAAAAGAAGATTTAATAGCTCAAATAATTATATCACATTGAATAGGACAACAAAGACAAGGTATTTGTATTTCGACAAAGTTTCAACTTACTTATTAGTTATATGATATCACCTCATCGATGTTTAACATGGCCAAACCATCTAAGACGACCGTCTAATATTGTTTGTGATTGGAGCCACTCCGATTCTTTCACGAATGTATTCATTTCACATTTTGTTTTACATTCTAAATGTAAAGCCACTCATCCATCCAATTCTTATGCATATATATAACACCTACACATTATATTTATATCACCCAAATCTTTAATATCAAGTCAAAAATACAATTAGTCAAACTTTAGGAAATTAAAATACATGCCTTCATGCATAGCCAAAAGATGACATGTAATATGTAAATACATTAAAAATTGCAGGGTATGTATGTAATTCATCTTTCAACATATCGTGCAATGTTGCAATCCATTTTTTGAATTGCTCAAAGAGATGAATCCAATAGATGATTTAGTGCCTACTAATCAGTGCATGACAACAACATTAGAATTGTTTCCTATAGCAATCAATGTTTGTATTATGAAGATTATGAAACCAAAACTGTAATCAGATACCATGGAGTGGTATATATGAATCACAACTAAGAAAGTAGCATGAGTTACACATTAATCATCCATCAGCCATTTTTGATTTCACACATCCAGAGTCTGTGTTGCCTTTCTATTAAATAATTGAATGATTACTTTGATCCTTTTCTTAGTAAATAAGTTACAGATAAAATACAACAAAACATTCTTTAGAATAATTGCAATTCATTAACTGTACTGGCAAAATATATATATATATACATACATATGTACAACAATGCCAGTAAGTTCAGAAGACGCATATTTACAGCGAAGGAATTAAGCAGATGATGCTTCCATATGTACACCCATATTTACACAAGAATTTGCAGCAAAATCTTTGATTATCAACGCCAACATAGAAATTATCATTCCTTCATCAATCCAATGCACTCCATCTTATTTACCAAACATAGCAATCAGAGATGAATCAGATGTCCTAAGCAGAAGAGAGCCACCTTTGAATGTATTCATACTCAATGCCCTCTGAAACAACAAAATGGAAGAACAGATTAGCAAAACAATGGCCTTGTTCAAGAAGGACAAACCAGAGGAGACAATAACAAGTCATCTTCTCTGTTTCTTAGAATGTATAAATTAAAAAGTTGAAGCTTTCGGTATTGTAGGTGATGACAAAGTTAAATATTCAACGTAGATGCAGACAACATAACAAACGAACAACCTTCATTCAATGAAGAATCTGCAGCAATATAAATCAATTAAAGCTGCAGATATCATATTAGTAGTTCATAATAGAACTGTACAAAAGTCAAAATGAATCAATGAAACACTGAACAGAACCAACAAGAGAATCAGAACCGAGAGCTGCTCACCAGATGAAAACCCATTGTATTCATTAACAGCACCCAGGACATGGTTCTTCAGTAATTCACTGTTCAGGTGGCGGCCGCGTCCATAGCATGGGACAAGAACAGCAAAGCTGCTCTCATCATCATCTGCTTCGCTCTGGAAATCAGATGCGTGAGGCTCCAACCATCCAATAGACCAATCTGAATCATCGGACTCGGATCCTGAAAGACATCCGCCATCAGAGGGCACAATGACGGCATCATACTCTCTATCAATCCTCGCCCTCCTCTCCTCCCGTCTCTCCCTCCTAAATCTTCTCGAGGAAGACCTAACCCTAAACCCATTCACCGGTCCAAATTTGACGGAATCGGGCTCGAGAAATCCGGAGGGAAAATCGGGGGAGGAACTCAGAGCTGAATTGGTGATTTCGTGGTCTTTTGTGCCCAATAACCAATACGACATACGATTAAAGACGACATCCATTTCGAATAAGGCGTTTCTTTCCGATTGAAACAATCAATCAACCAAAAATCAGAAAAAAAATCAATAGAATGGCGAGGCTTTCTCCTTGAATCCACATGGGGTCATAACAAAATCCCCTTTTTAGCCTAATCTTACATCGAAAGAGGTTAGAAAGAAGAACAAGTAATCTCAAGATTAAAAAAAACAAAAAAAGAAGCCATTTTTACCCATTCGCTTGTCTTTTCCTGAAAGCAAGAGCTTTTCTATTAAACTGTTTGAAATAAGAAAGCCTCCAAAAAGCAATTCCCAAAGTAACGCCAAATGGAGCGCAGCGCACAAACAGAGATGTATGAATCCAAAAAAAAAAAAAAAAAAAAGATAAAAAATCAAAATCTAAAAGATTTGATCGCTGGTTTCGAAACCCTGCTCTTCCCCCTTTCCCCCAAATTACAAATCAAAGTAAAAGCCGCACGGAATCACCGAGTTTTGAGATCCTCGGCGGCGACTTGGGTTAAGAGCGTGCACATGGAAGAGAAGAGAGAGAGAGAGGAGCATCCGTCCTGTCGTCTTCCAGCTTTCGTCCAATTTATAGGGAATTGATTGGCGATAAGGCTGTGAAATTTAACGGTGGAGATGGAGGGAAGATGGCATGAGGCTGCTAACAGGACGCCACGTGTCCGTTGGCATTTGTAAATGGCACGTGCGCTGGTTTTCCTGTTTTCTCGGTCGAGAGAACGGGTGATATGGCTGCCCGTCCATAGGTCGTTGGGGAGGATGCGTTGAGTAGGATTTTCTTTTTATATATATATATTTTATTATTTTTTAATAATTTTGCAATAAAAAATAAATTATTTTATATTTTAATTAAATGGGATGATTTATAATATTTTTTTTGTTAATATCAATTAAATCAAATATTAGCATGACTCATAGCTCATAATAAAATTATAACTATTTTAATGTATTTGTATTATTTTTTATTCAATATCTGTTAAAGTTATTTGGTCATTTAATAGTTCATAAAATTCCTTCACATATCATTTGGACATTTAATTGTTCATAAAATTTATCATGATATATATAGGTTTATATTTTATTCCTCAAGGCATTGTAGTTTGTCCTTTCATTGAATAAATATCCAATAAAATTATTCATTTATTGTTATAATCATTTTTTATCCTAGCACAAAAAAATTGCAGTAACACTCTTGGATTAAGAAAATAGAAAATCAGCGTAAGTGGTATTGGGGTATCATTTAGTGGTATTGCAACGACTATGATGTTATTTCAGTGTTATTGTGACATTATTATGACATTATCGTGGTGTTATTTTGATTTTAAATAAGTGGTATTATAACTGCTCTGTGTATTATTCTCGACTAATATTATTATGATGTTATTGCCGTTTTTTTTTTTCTTAAATAATTTTTGAGATTACTTGTTCTTCTTTCTAACCTTCTTTGGATGAAGATTAGGCTAAAAAAAAAAATTGTTATGACCCCATGAGGATTCAAGAAGAAAGCCTCGCCATTCTATTGATTTTTTTCTGTTTTTTTTTTTTGGTTGGTAGTTCAAATCAGAAAGAAACACTTTATTCGAAATGGATATCGTCTTTAATCATATGCTGTATTGGTTATTGGGTACAGAAGACCACGAAATCACCAATTCAGCTCTGAATTCCTCCCTCGATTTTCCCTCCAGATTCCTCGAGCCCAATTGCGTCCAATTTCTAACGGTGAATGGGGTTTGGGTTAGTTCATCCTCAAGAAGATTTAGGAGGGAGAGATGGGAGGAGAGGAGGGCGGGGATTGATAGAGAGTATGATGCCGTCATTGTGCCCTCTGATGGCGGGTGTCTTTCAGGACTCGAGTCCGATGATTCAGATTGGTCTATTGGATGGTTGGAGCCTCGTTCATCCAATTTCCAAAGCGAAGCGGATGATGATGAGAGCAGCTTTATTGCTCTTGTTCTGTGCTATGGACGTGGCCGCCACTCGAACGGGGAATTGCTGGAGAAACATGTCCTGGGTGTAGATTATGAATTTCTGTTATTTAAGTCATGTTATTTGTAATTGGTATTTAAGTCATGTTATTTGGACATAAAACTTCTTCACATATCATTTGATCATTTAATTGTTCATAAAATTTATCACAATATTTATAGTTTTATATTTTATTCATTAATCTTTAACATTTTGATATGTTAATGTGAGTTATTGGAGTCTGCCTGCATGTTTGACCCTTTCATTGAATAAACATCCAATGTAATCATTTTTTGTACTTAGGTTCGACTACTATGATTAAGTCAATTGTGCAAATTATGTGTATTTCATTAATTAAATATCAAACAAACTTTGCCTTTTTTATTTATAATTAATTTTATTATTATCTATGTTTAAACTATTTCTTTAGTACTTAAGTGTTAGCATCATCAAATTAATATCTAATAAAATCCATTATTTTATGCTAATATCTCATCTCATGATTAGTGTAATAATTTTCCTCCTTTTGATGGGTTTATTGTTGGAGGGGTTTATGTTTCTTCTTCTTAGCCATCTTTGATAAGCACTAATATTTTGTCTTCAAATAAGGGATGGAAAAGGCCAGTATTGCTTTATATGCACGATAGAAGGATGGAGGGCTCGAAAGATCCCCAATCTTGTCATCATATAGGTCATCAAAGTACAACAATATATGAAAAAGTCATAATCCTAATTTCAAAAGAAAAGACTAATGCTAAGTGAGATCAGTTCTTACTATATTTAAAATCACTCCCTTAAAAATGGTTGATTGAATTCTAGATTTCTCTAACAAATTGTTCTAGTATAATTTTAAAACGGGCCCTATTACCTCTTGTTATTTTTCAAGTCATAACAAGCATTGCAATCTCATATTATAGCTAGGTTCTTGATATGAACTCCGCAGACAAGGTTATGAAACCCACACCAGAGACTGGAATCAAACTCCATTATCTACAAGAAACAAGTTTGTTGGCAAGATAAGAACCAAGAAGTACAAATAGGAAAACACCATGTTACAAATAGAATATCAAGAACACTCGAGAAATCAAGAAGATAAGTCAGTTGCTTGAACGTCACAAGAATGATTAATAAGTTGAAAATGACTTCTCAAGAAAATAAGACGGGCAACAAAAAAAGTCTCGCAAATTTGTGAATGTTTTGAAATTTTTTCGAGGGGTTTACAATTTTAAGGGTTCAAATTTCAGCCCGACCGCATGCTAACTTAGAAAGCTTTGATTGACATTAATTTCAAAATCTAGTAAATTTTGAAAATAATAATAAAAAAAGGAAACTAGAAAAAAGAAAATAATCTAGATTTTATTTCATACTTAAACAAAATCGAAAATAACCTTAAAAAAATAAGATGACGATGATAAAGAGGAATGCCCTTAATGATATGGGTCCCACATGTCGCTAAAAAAATATGCATGCTTCCCAAAATAAAAAATTAAACCGGTTGGCCTTCAAGAATTGCCAAAAAGATTGCATTCGGCTTAAGAAGACTCTTCTAATGCCTTAATCACGTTGATTAGACACTCTTGGAATTATTTTGGACTCTTGTGGAGTCTTTGTATGTAAGTCATTTTGCCAGTTTGTTGGGCTAGCCCATTCAAAGTTTCTTTAAATATTTGGCTATAAGTTTTGTGATTAGCCCACTTGAAAGAGACAAAAAACCACATGAATTCTCGTCATGTTAGAGTGTAGCTCGATTTGCATCATTATCCCCCTCTTTAAAAGGATTTATCCTCAAATCATCACCGACATCAAAGGAACATAAGTCAGAAACACCATACTCACTTAGTGGATCAAGTTTATAAGCACTTTCATTGATGTGTTCCACCACTTGAAATGGCCTATCACTCCATGGCTAGAATTTTTGAAGCCTTTGCTCCAAAAATACTCTTTTCTCTAGTGCAACAAAACACAACCTTCCTAGTTCAAACACAACTTTCTTCAGACCCTTATTGTCTAAATTTGCAAATTGTTTGGTTCGCCGCTTATTTTTTTCTTGCTTTTCCTTCTTCTGAATCTATTTGACAAAATCAACTTTCTTCTTGCCATCTAAGACAACACATTCATGCATTAATAAATGAGTCAAATCCAAATGAGTTGTTGACATCCATTTTTGATGTAACATACACGAGGTATCCTCGCCGAGTGACACAGCACTATAGTTGGGTTCTACGCCATCATGGTCGTGCCCCGAGTCGATCATGGCCAAGCCGGCATTGCTTCTGGTATCCTCCAGGTTGACGTTCGTTCCTGCAACACAGGGTCACATCCTGCTAATATGGACATTCCCATGGCGCAAACTGTCAATTAGAGTACCTCGCAACGTTTTTGGTGCTTAGATTCAAAGCTCGGATAGATAGATTTTTTCATGTTGTAACCGCTCTGCCCGACGATATGTAGACGACTTAGCCTCTTCAACTCTTTTGAGACATATTTATAGCTCTTACAGTGGTCCAAGGATCATCACCTGCTCAAATTCGATCTTATGGAGGTCGCATGAGGCCTGAAACCCCCTTGTGAGGTTCTCTGAAAGCCCAATCTCTATGTGGTCTAGCGTGACTACGCCTAATTTAGGCATGGAAAAACCTAGTTAGTGCGTGACCACACTTAAACCATGTGTGGCCACGTCGAGACCTCCCCGAAGAATACAAAAATGTTGGGGTCGATATAACCGCACCAACCAAACAAAGAATACAACATAATTACACTGCAATTTAGGTGTGACCATGCCCAAAGCTTAGAAGGCACCTGAGTTTGTCTATCAGAGTGACAACACCCACAAGTGGCGTGGCCACGCCTCCCAAACGAAGTGACCGTTGTAATTACGCTGAGCCTCAGGCGTGGTCACACCGGACCTCTTTCTGCAAAGCTTTGAATAGTGGTGTGCCCACTCCACCTAGACCAGATTACAAGTTTTGACCCTCCAGTCCCCGGATTCGCACCGGTAAGGCAGCCTTGACTGCTGGTCCATCTCTTTTTATCTTGTTCTTCACCCAAATAAGGCATAAGAGATATTTTGGGGTCATTCCAAATTGCAAAGCGGCCTTGGAACATTGGATAAATCCTCTATAGCCGAATAACCCATGGGGATTAAAACATTTAATATTTTAAAATTTGTCTTTTACTTTCATGCATGGCCTTCGAACCAGTTTTAAAACGAGTTACATAACATGGACATTTTTCAAGTCATACCAATAGGGGATCCACTCTTAGGATTGTGGTAGATAACTTCATCATATGCCTGTCTTGAGGAGAAGCCTATGTGCTTCTCCAACCCGCAGACTTAACATAAAATTCTACTTAGTTGGTTGTCTATCTCGCTTAGGTCGTTAGAAGGCACCCTGACCTAGATGAGGTGTAGGTCTTTTTTTAAGAGGGATTTCAGCTTTGTAACTAAACCTTTCTTCTTCTTCCTTTCCAGCGACATCATCGTCACTTCAGTGTGTATAAGTCACATCTCTTGGAGCACCATCATATAGTCATAGTCTATCGAGGTTCTTGTTGATGACACAATTCACATATTACTGACTGGGAATCTTCAAATGTGTTGGATTAACGCTCTTCATTTCCTCGTAGAATTAAGGTCTTAGTGACTTGGGATGACGGGTTTGTGGTGCCCCGATCTAGCTGTCTCTACCTTTTAGGGATTACTCCTCCCTTCGTTTGAATATCCTGTTGAGCTGTATCGCTCCTTTTGCCTTCGTGAGTATCATCTCAACAACCTGATTACCGATGAATCACCGCCTGTTTGGGATACAACGATTTATTCTCTGCCCTTACGACCAGAATGTGTTTTGACGTATTGGGATTCCCCATCGGGATGATTTAGTTATTTCGCAGGCTTCACATGATAATGAGCCCATTATCCATGTGGGGACTGTGAGAGACTCACTCTCCGCCCCGCGGCTTAACAAGAGCTTTGAAAGCATGAGGGCATTCTTCTGTGAAATAACCATCCTTTGATAGCCTTGTGCTACTTTTCACTACTAATGTAAACAAAACTCGTTTGGATCAAGAGTAATCTTGGGCAACCCTCAAGATGTAATTAACCAAGTGGGATACGTTCCCTTAAGAGCACTCTAAACCCTAAAACAGACAAACACACCTGAATCTCTGGTTATGAGTAATTTATGTAGGTATTTTTTCACGGATATTGATCCAAGGTGCCTTCACCCAATCTTGTTCGAGCGGACATTTTTAACCTACCTTTACGAGGTTTATTGCATGTAGCCTCTCCATGTTCTCTTTCTCTTTGTTTGTCTTCTTCGTTGTATGTCCTTGTTTTTTCTGATTTCATTCTCCTCTAAATCATTCTTATAATTCAAAAGAGAGACTTAGTTGAAAAAGAAAATTATACGACAATAGACAAATTTGTGACTCCTTAAAAAAATTAAAAAAAAAAAGATGAAAGCAACATAAACATGAGTCAATTGATTAAAACCATAAACAATCTCAAATTATGAAAACTTAGATGTAGAATGAAGACATTCATTATAAGCAAATTCAACATGCGACAAACACTCTTCCCATGTTTTCAAGTTTTTTTGAATGACAACACAGAACAAGATTGCTGAAGTTTCATTCACAACTTTAGTTTGACAATCAGTTCGTGGGTGACAAATAGTAGAGTATAATAATTTAGTTCCCAACTTTTCTCACAGAGTTTTCTAAAAATAACTCAAAAACTTTGCCTCTCTATCAAAAATAATACACCTAGGCACAACAATCTCATTTAAAAATAAATGATCTATATGAGATGCATCACCAATCTTATAATATGCAATGAAGAGCGCCAACTTAGAAAGCCTATCAACAACCAAAAAATTGAGTCTCTGCCCCCCTTTAGATATAGACAATCCCAAAAAAAATTTATGAAAATATCGGCCCAAGGCTCACTAGGAATAGGAAGTGGAGTATACAAACCATGTGGTTGTAACCTATACTTAGCTTTGTCTGCATGTAATGCAACTCTCAGAAATCTTTTCGAAATCACGCCTCATGTGCGGCAAGAAAAATGCTCATGTAACATTCCTAAAGTC